GGCTCAGTGCAGGAGCTTGTGGTAGCTGGGGTGGGAGAGGGGCTGTTGCCATCTGGGCCGCTATAAGGGGCCCTCTCCTTTATCAAGGTCTTTTTTGCCCCATCAAAATCCCCTCCTCCCCCCGTAGCTTCTTGTGGCTGACAGAAAACAAGGGGAGCCCCCCAGGATGGGACTGGGCAGGACTCCACAGTCCCAACTTGCCCAGGGTTGTTGTGGGGTCAGGGCAAGTGGCAACACCTTCTGACCTGCGGCCACATGACTGCTGGCAGGGCTTCTGTGCTCATGGGCAACTTGGCTTGCCTTGTTCCATACAAAGCAGAGGTTCTTCTCTGAGAGCCAGTGTGGTGTAGCTGTTGAAGTGTTGGATTAAGAGCTGGGAGAGATCAGGGTTCAAATCCCACCACTTGGCCATGATGAAGCCAGCTGGGTTACCTTGGGGGCTGATCAATGCCACTCAGCCTAACCTGTCTCACAGCATACCCTCCAATATTTCTCTGATGACAATAGGGACATCCTATTCAATAATAATAATAATAATAATAATAATAATAATAATAATATCCCACCTGCCAGTCTGGGCAGCTTCCAACATATATAAAAACATAATAAAACTAACCAGGGCTGCCTTCAGATGTCTTCTAAAGCTTGTATAGTTACTTATTTCCTTGGCTCGGGGGGTTGCATAACTCCATACCCTCAACATTTCTCTGATGAAAATACGGATGTCCGAAGGAAAAGCAGGACATTCCGGGATCAAATCAGAAACCGGGACATCTTCTATAAATCCAGGACTGTCCCTGGAAAATAGGAAGACTTGGAGGGTCTGTCACAGGGTTGTTGTCGAGATTAAGTGAGGAGGGGGGAGTCATGTGTGCCACTTTGAGCTGCTTGGAGAAAAAGATGGAATATAAATGCAATGAAATAGACAAACAAATAGATAAATAAATAGGCCCTTGACCTCTAGCAATCTTTCTTTCTCTCTCCTTCCTTCCCTCCCCTTCAGTTCAACTACTGCATCACACTATTTGGAGACCCAGCTGCTCTTGGCTCAGTTTAAGCATGACCTTCCTTCCTGCAGCATCATGTCAGGCCAGGGGCTGGAGTCTCGTGCTGTGGGATCTGAGCAGGTGGCAGAGTCTGGTACAGCCAGAGCAGGGGGTGGGAGTTGTCCAGGTACATAGCTGTCAAGTGTCCCTTATTTGAAGGGACAGTCCCTTATTCCAGCGCCATGTCCCGCTGCTGTCCCTTATTGATGGATGTCCCTTAAATGATGTCCCTTAAATTTCAAAGGAAGCAGCTCCTCTCCCTCCCTCCCTGCCAGCCAGGGAGGAGGGAGGCTCCAACTGTGTTGCTTGGCTGTGTTGATCACCCAATAAGAAGTCTAAGAACGACTGGGGGGTGGAGCTTGCATGCCTTGTGTGTGGCTAGTTAATGCAAGCTGAGGGACTTTTTGAATGCTGGACGCCGTTTTGTTTCACGTGCTGCTGCAAACTTTGCAGTGCAAAGCCAGGCCAGGGAGCCATCTTAAGTTGAGGCTGCATAGGCCTTGTGGTGCATGTGATTCAGATTCTATTCAGTTGAACCTCTGGTTACAAAGTTGGTTGGACAATGTTCTCGAAGCTACCCAGCATGAGTTTGACCAGACTGCAGGAGGACAGGAAGACTGGAGTGCCTGGAACAGGTGAGGCTGCAGGTCCCTTATTTTGGCTGCTGGTCCCTTATTTTCAAGGCTGCTGGTCCCTTATTTTCAAATCTGTAAGTTGACAGCTATGTCCAGGTATTGGCCTCTGTGGGTCCCTGGCCCCTTTGGATCCAGATCTGAATCACAGAATCATAGAACTTTAGAGCTGGAAGGGAGCCTGAGGGCCATCTAGTCCAGCCCCCCTGCAATGCAGGAATCAATATGTGCAAATGAAGCCAGTCACAGGCTGGAAACCCCCCCCCCCAATCTTAATGTGAGCTCCCTCCACAGCGCAGCAGGAGCCCCCACTAAGGAGGAAAAGGCCCTTCGTTTCTCTGCTTGTCTGTGGCCCCTTCCTTCCCGTTGCAAATGATGCTTGAGGTGGGCAGGGTGGAGGTGCGCCAGGATCACACCACAGGGGGGAATAATGAGAGAAGATTACCACCCTGCCCACCTCAAGCATCCACCCTGATTTCCGATTTCCGAATAATATGATGTTTCTTGCAAGATGTGGTTGAGACCCAGAAACTCCATGTCTGCCATTCCCCCCCCCCCCTTTGGGGTATGGAATTTCCTTGGCCTTTCTGTTCATGCTCTGCACCCCCTTCAGGACCAGTAAGCCAGGGGGTTGGGGGCGTTTGCAGGCCCCCTCCTGAGCTCTCTCCAGGTGCAACAGGGTAACTGGTTTTCACAAAAATCTCTCTCAGCAGCGCTTTGATCCACCCTGGAGGGTGAACAAGAGAAGAGGGCTCTCTATAGTGGGGTGGAGGGACGCTTTGATTGGCCCGGGAAGCCCCTCCATCTTCAGCCTGCTTGCAGTCATGGGACCCAGCACTCTTCTGGATCATCCCAGCGCCCTTTGGGTGCTCTTGGATAATATCTGTTTTGATGAGATAGATAGATATTTTAAACATTTATTTTAGATCTTATTATGACTTACATAAAGGTAAAGGTAAAGGTAAAGGGACCCCTGACCATTAGGTCCAGTCGTGACCGACTCTGGGGTTGCGGCGCTCATCTCGCTTTATTGGCCGAGGGATCAGGCGTACAACTTCCGGATCATGTGGCCAGCATGACTAAGCCGCTTCTGGCGAACCAGAGCAGCGCACGGAAATGCCGTTTACCTTCCTGCCGGAGCGGTACCTATTTATCTACTTGCATTTTGATGCAACTGCTAGGTTGGCAGGAGCAGGGACCGAGCAACGGGAGCTCACCCCGTCGTGGGGATTTGAACCGCTGACCTTCCGATCGGCAAGCCCTAGGCTCTGTGGTTTAACCCACAGCGCCACCCATGTCCCGACTATGACTTACATAGAGGTTGTTTAATTTTGTTATGTACATTTTTATAAATTTTTATTTATTGCTTATGACTACTTTTGATATATTTTCGTAACCTTTTTCCTTTTTCCCTCTTGCCACCTGGATAACATAAGTCCTCATCCCAAGCTACTATCTTAGGTTAACCAAAAAGTTATGTAGTGCAAGATTTATCTTTGTAAGGATGCAAATCTTCTCATATTGCAAGCTGCCTTGAGCATGGATTCGACCAGGGAAAGGTGGTGTGCAAATAAGCGATGTGGAAGAAGATCATGGAGAGTGCAACTGAAGGGCAAGGAGGAAGGCAAAGAGAAACACACAGCCAAGTGGGCAGCCCCCTCTTAACACCCACATATTGTGCATTGTGCAGACCCCGGCAGCCTGGAGATGCGCAGGCCAGCGGCAGAGGAAGCATAGCGAGCAACTCAGAAGAAAGACACGTCTGGCCCGAGGGATTTGAGTCAGTCAGACAGGAGACTTTATTTCATTATTCAGCACAGTATATTCTCAGCATCTGCTTCAGAATGTGACAGGCAGCCTTCCGAGAGGGAGAGGCTCCCCTGCCCACAGACGAAGGGCCACAGCCTGCGGTGGACTTGCGCAAGCCGGGCTGAGTGGGGAGGGGTCCAGTCGAGGGGAAAGGCCACTGGCACCCTAGGGGGATGGATGCTGCCCAGTGAAACCATGAAGCAGCCTGGGTCCCCAAGTGCCAACCTCCCATGGTCAATCACCTGGTGCCAGGTGGGCATGGCTCTCCCAGAAGAGACCCATGGGCCAAATCAAAGCCCTGGCAGGACTAAGGTCAGCGGCAAAGGGGTGTCAGAGAGACCCCTCTGGCACGAATCCAGACTGAAATCTGGTTAGCTGGGGGAGGGGTTAGGGCAAGCCCCCCCCCCCCCCATTGACACAAGGAAGCAATTGTCTTGCATTGTGTCTCTGGGGAGTGAAATGGCAGGCTGGGCCTCAGGCTTGCTCCCCAGAGTCGCTCACGCCCTGGATGCATGAGGCCCGGCTCTCCATTTTCCGTCTCCTCCTCTGCCTGTCTCTCTTTAGTGGCTCACCTGCAGGGAGACCACCTTCCATCTGCAGAGAAGCAGCCCCCCCAACTGAGAAAGGAAGCCTGGGAGCTCCAAGAGCCCCACTTGAGAAGAGTCAGCTCCCTGCTTCTGGCTTCAGCCCCAGATGGTTCAGAATTCAGTATCAAGCAAGAGATCAGCAGGCAGGACTTGGCCTTCCTTCCCCCTGGCTTGGTCTCTAACCCCCTAATTGGGAAGCCACTCCTCTGCCCCCCACATCTCAGGAAACACACCCCACTTCATGAAGCTTTTTAAATCCCAGGGGCCCCCACTTTTCCCCCTCCCCCACCCCCTGCAGAAGCTATTTTTATAGTGAAAATCTAACGCTTAGGACAATGAATAAGCTATTTCTTAGCAGCAGCGGCAACAGTTTCTTTCCCCATCCCAACCCCAACATGTTGTGGAATATATACAGCCCCCCCCCCTTTGTCATCCTGGTGTGAGTCGAGGGAGGGAAGCGGTTGGGAGGTCCAGTCCCAGGAGACACCAGGCGCTGAGCCATCCTCCTTCTCCCAACACAGAGGGGGAGCTGGTGCCTCCCATGTGCCCATCCTTCAAACTGGGCATCTTGTTGTCTGTCCAGTACCAGAGCAAAAGCCTGAAAGGGGCATCAACTTCCAGAGGAAAATGCAGCTCCACCTCTTGGCTTCTGCAGGCATTTTAGGGACCTCCAAAGGAAGAGGCCCTTTTAGTGGATGGGGAACCTGCTGCCTTGCCTTTCGCTCCTCTGCCAGGTATAGAGGTGCTGGGGGGGGGGGGAGACATGGGGAGAGCTTTCACCAGCACCATCCAGCAGCCAGCCATGGCAGCGGGGTCTCCAGGGTTCATGGTGTGCAACTCTTGGTGGGCGCTGGGGAGGTGCAGAGAAGCTGGCACCCGCCTGCCCACCTCTCCCTCCTTCACGCTCCTCCTGCCCCGCCCCAGCCTTAGCTGAGGACATCCAGGTAGACAGGGGGCGCCTTGACCAGGGTCTGCAGCTGGCTGTGGATGTCCTTCATGCTCTGCCGCTGCTGCGGCTCTCTCTGCCAGCAGCTCTGCATGATGTCATAGACCTCCGAGGGGCACGTCCGGGGTCTCTCCAGCTCACGCCCCTGGGTGATGCATTCAATAGCCTGGGGTGGGGAGGGGGAGAAGGGGGAGAGATGGAGGGTGAAACTCAGGCATTTGCCCCTGAGAGAGACATGACTGCCTTCTCTGCTCTGGCTGGGCTCTGCCTCCGTTTCTTCCTGTCCAAAATGAAAGGAACTTCTCAGCTTGCTCAGCCAATGCCCACGGATGGCAAATTAGGATGCCCCACTGAAGGCCGTTGGAACTTAAACTGGGTGCCCAAGTGAGAAGGCCCTGGACTGTCGGGGTGGGTGGGAGATGGGCTGTTAGCTCTCCTAAAAGGCTTCCAGGTTTACCAATATGCTTGAAATCCTCTGGACCTGAATTAATCTGTGGGTCTTCCTAGCCTGACCTGTGTGCTGTGTTTTGGCTTCCTCAGATTTCAGAGGTGGCTCACAGGGCTGGCAGGGAGGAGACACAGATTCCTCCCTCCCTCTTATGGGAGGGGGTGCAGCTGAAATCACAAATGCATGATTGCTAGACAGTCACAAACAGGGCAATGGCACTACAGAGTTTCAGAACCTGTATAGAGGGGACTCTATGATGTCATAACTGCAAAGCTGCTGGTGGGGAAAAGACCATGGTTCCCTATACTGTACACTTTTTCCTAACTGCATTTTGCTCTCCTCCAGACACCAATCTTCCTTTTGAACTGGACTATGAATTCAAGGATTATTGTCTGCCTAATTTTTATCACTGTATCTGTTGAATCCTGGCATTTGATGTGAGTAAACTTTGTATTTTTCTTGTTTGCTAAACCATCTGGGAGTGATTTCTTTGTTAAAAGGGAAACATAAAACAGAGAGAAGATAATCCAAGTCTGCCAAAAGCATGCTTGGATATCATAATTGTTCTAGAAGGTTATGCAACCTTGTTCTAATAGCTTCTAGAGATAAGCTACATACAGATGGTGATTTTTAACTCTGCTGAAATAGATATTTGCATTTGCACACAAGTAAGGGAGGATAATTACTAAATAAAATATCCTCTCCTACTCATCTAAATCCATCCAACACCTCTGTCCTTGAAAAGCATCTTTGAAAAGATGATGCAAGCTCTACACACACACACACACACACACACACACACACACACACACACGGCTCTCTCTGCCTGCATGACTCTTCCTCCGCCCCACCCTTTACCTCCGTGTTGGAGAGTTGGTACCAGGGCTGCTTCCCATAGGTGAAAATCTCCCAGAGGACCACCCCGAAGCTCCAGATGTCACTCTCTGTTGTGAATTTCCGGTACAGGATGCTCTCTGGGGGCATCCAGCGGATGGGCAGCATTGTCCGGCCCCCAACCTGTGCAGGAGGCAAAATGGGCAGAGGGTCAGCAGGAGGGAGAAAATGAAAGGGGGATGATGAGGACAAAGAGGAGGAACTGAGACTGTGAGGAAGGCACAAGTGAGCCCCCCCACCCCATCCAATCCGTTGTATCTTAGCAAAAGTCTGGAGCAGAAAGCAGGCAGGCCATCATCCGCCAGGTGCAGTTTGTGAGCAATGCCAACTGTCAGCTCTCTTGAAGGGCCAGGCCAAGCCACTGGGCTACCTGAGCAAAGGACAAGATGGCCACCCCCTCCCCTATTCTGCATCCAGAAATTGGCTGGACAGGCAGGTGAGACTGATCTCCAGGAACGTAGCAGCGCAGCATCTTCCGCTGTGCCTGAGGCAGCCGTCTAGCTTGTGGGAGATGGGGCAGGGCAGGCTGTGAGGCACACGTAGCCCCCATCCGCAGAAGGCAATGGCTGGGGTGGGGGGCTACAGAGGAGCAGCAGCCAAGGAGGGGTTGCCAGAGCCAGCTGCTTGAGCTAGGTAGTTGTCTCACTCTGCTGAACCGTTGGGCTGGCTACTTCCAGGCAGGCAGCTCTTTCTGGATAGCCAAAGGAGAGAGATCCCCTCCTAGGTCCACCATGGACCTCGCCTGCTGGAAGAGCCTCCCCACTTCCATGCAAATGGATGGTGGAGAACCCTCCCTCCCCTGCAGCCAGGAGTCCGTACTGGGCCCGGCCTTTGCGGAGAGGTCCCGTCTCAAACACTCAGTCCCGACTTCGGAGAGTTCCTGTAAGAGCACTTAAGGGGAAGCCTTTGCTACTCGGCTTCTCCAGGCATTGGGAAGCCAGGAACTTTCCAGTCTGCTTCCTGCTCAGACTTTCCCCACAACTGCTCTTCTCCCCCCACTCCACCCCGCTTTTAATTAACCGTTTAATGGCAGCTCCCCTCCCTGCCTGCCAGGCCTCCCATCTTTCCACCGGCTAAGTGCTCCAAGGTTTTTTTCCATTGTAGGCCCCATTAAAAATGAATAGGGGTCCAGGGCAGAAGCTAAAAGGGAAAAAGATAATTGGGAGTGGCCCCTTTGGACTCCCGGCCTGTCAGGGAGGTGAATCCCTTCAGAGCCCTTGAGGGAAAAGTGGTCAGGAGCCCCTGGGAGCCCCGCAGGAGGGGACCAACTTGAGCCAGCCAGGAAGAAAACCGTGTGTGTGTGTTTCCTGCTGGCGAGCTCTGGCCTTCACTATCTTCACCAGAGTGGATGAGCCAGGACCCCACTGAGGCTGCTGTTGCTGCTGCTGCTGGGGAGACCTCAGGCAGAGAAACAGCCTCTCTGCAGGGGCCTCCTAAGAGAAGAGGGGTGGAAGGGAGGGATTGGCAGAGTGGAAGCCAAGGATGCAAGTCAGAGGAGGAGGAAGACACAGCGGCAGGATCTGGAATGGAAAGGCCCCTGCCGGGCAGAGGAGACTCCGGCAAAGGCTGCAGAGGGAGGGTGCCTGGCCCTCAGAGACCGTCTCCCTTCCGCACTTACCCGGTAGTAGTCGGTGCTGTAGATGTCCCTGGACATGCCAAAGTCCCCAATCTTCACCACCAGGTTGTGGCCCACCAGGCAGTTCCGCGTTGCCAGGTCCCGGTGGACAAAGTGCAGGGAGGCCAAGTAGACCATCCCAGAGGCGATCTGAGTGGCCACCTGCAGCATCTGGCCAAGGTTCAGCTGGCCAAAGGACTGTCCGTTCCCATTGTCCAGGATCTTGGCATCAGGTCCGTGGGACCTGCAGGGAAGGAGGGTCAAATGCCAAGGCAGTGGATCACACCCACACCCACACTGGGTAGAACCTTAGTGGCTGCTTGGACATGGGGCATGCACACAGTTCATTCCTCATTGCAGATTTGGTTGTACAGCACTAAAAGTGAACCTCAGTTTAGTTTCCTGGCTTGTGGGCTACATGTCTGAAGTGACCAAAGGCCGTCAGGTGAAGTTGCCAGCATTTCCGTTAAGCGCCTTACTCTCCAGCGTGTGACTGCACCTGCTGCCTGTGCAAATGGGCGCTTGGTGACCCTGGAGAGAACGGGAGGTGGGCAAGAGGGTGGCAAATGGGTTCCCCTGTGTGCCAGGAGGGTCACAGTCGCCCTGGAGAGGAGGAGACCAGACCAAAAGGGGCCCCTCTCCCAGCTCTTGTTCACTAGCCAGCCAGGAGCCCCCCCCCCCCGGGAAGCCCACCAGGGGCCAGGCATGAAGGTGGAGGGCAGGGTTCTCCTAAAGAGGGTTGATCCCCGTGCCCCAAGGTGGTCTTGCCCTTTCCTCACTTGACGCTAAGCCTGGCAGACAACGGCAGGTGAAGTGGCTGCGGCAAGGAGCCCAGGTCTCCCGTAAAGCGCAGCCATTAATGCCAAGTCTCATAACCATAAGCACCCCATCCGTGCGTCTCTGAGCCTGTCCTGGGGATGCTAATCGGGGCCGTTGGCAGCTCCTGTCTATTGGCAATACCTGGGGGGCCAATCGAAAGAGACTCTGCTTATTCCAGCTGATGGCCAATCCCCCTCAATTTGAGCCTCTCAGACAGCTAATCTAATCAATATTGCAAGGGAAGATTGCATTAGCTGGGGGAGGGGGACGTCTAAGCCGCTGCTGCAGTAATGGAGTGGGGGAGGGGGAGCGGGAGGCGGCATTCGGGGAGGTGGGGGTGACTCTGAGAAGAGGATCAGGCTGGGACATTTCAGTGCAACAACAACAACAACAAAAGGAAGAGGGAAGGAAAGTCTCTTTTGCAGGGGCGTCTGGGAGGAGGCGGAAAAGCCACCTCTGCCCAGTCCAGGTGCACACCAAGCAGGTGGCAGTCTCTGTGCAAGGCACACCTGGAGCAAAGGTGGGAAAGCTGGACTGCGCATCCAGCATCCTTGGGGCAGCCGCTGCAAAGCTCAGGCAACTGTTGACGTTGCACAAGCGTCTGGCTCACCAGCTGGGGGGCGGGGTCTGTGGGTTATCTAAGCTCTTGGCTCATCCATGGACACTTGACCCTGGACTGTGAGGGAGTGTGCGCACTTGTGCAAGAGAGAGACACTGGGTTGTTGCTGCTGGGGACGGCCCAAGACATTTTGGCACCTGAGGCAAACCACCAAGTGGAATCTCCCTCCATGCCAGGGAAGAAGGAGTGTGGAAATATCTACATCAGGAACAACGGGGCAATAAAGATCCACATTGGGATCTGGTGCCGCTGTGGATCCTGCTGCCCTCATCTCATGGGTGGACCAGCCCTGGTTGCCTCCAGGGTCCTACACTGAGCAAACACATTGAAATCAGTGGCTGCGGATAACTTCAGCCTGTTGATTTCTAGGCCTGCAGTGAGCAGGACTTGGCTGGATGCGATCCTGTGTGCTTGCATCTAAAGCCCATGCCTGGGGAGCTTCTCTCCCTCCCTCAGCCTAAGGCTCCTTTTGTGCTGAACCAAGAGAGAGGGGCAGAAAGAGCTGGCATGTCCAGGACACTCTGGCCTGTGTGGGCTGAAGGACTGCAACGGGATGCTGAAAAATGGCCAGGTCTCAAAAAGGGCACCAATATATCACCCTATTGCACTTGTGCTTTGGCATTTGCACTGCATTCCAGCCTATTTCTGGGCCCATCTCAAAATGTTGGTGCTAGTCTAAGTGGGTCAGTCTCTTCTTCCATAGACCTGCCTGGTCCATAAGACCATCTGCAGAGACACGCCCCCAAGAGGGGAGGCAGGGGGCTCCTGTAGGGAGCGCCTACTCAGTGGTGGTGCCAGTTATCGACTGCCCCTGCCCCACCATGAGGGGCCCACATTGTGGTCTTTCTTATGCCGGATGAAAAGCTTTCTCATTTCCCAGTCTTCCTGGTTTTAAAGACACATCCTAGTGGCTTTTAGACATCAGGAGCTAGTGGCTTCATTTCAATGTTGTTTTAACCAGTCTTTGAGTTTGGGCTCATGTTGCCTTCTTACATTTTATGGGTTTGTTTTGTTCCTAAATTGTATGCTGCCAAAAAGAAAGAAAGAAGTATTGCTGATGGGCATTGGAAACTTGTGCTATAAACAAAATGGCTGGGGAAACCCAGCCAGATGGACGGGGTATAAGTAATAAATTATTCTTATAAAATGAAACAAGAACACAGAAGCTGCCACCACGTCCAGCAGGGTCTGGCCCCCTCCCTCTGGCCTTGCCAGCCCAGTGTTCCCTCCCTGCAGTCAGCCAACCTGAGGAAGCGGTTGAGGTCTCCGTGCTTCATGTACTCAAAGACCATGACGAGGGGCTCCCCGTCGGTGCAGACCCCGTAGAACTTGACGATGTGCTCGTGCTGCAGGACTGTCAGCAGCTCTGCTTCACGCTGGAAGTCCAGGCGGGCGTTCTCTGTGGCTTCCTTCAGGGTCTGGGGAAGGAAGGTGAGCTGGGTTCATTACAGGAGCAGCAGCAAGAGGAGGCTCTGCCGCAAGGGCAGGAAGGGCACAGCGCCGGAGGGAGTGGGGGACTCAACCATCTCACTCTCGGGGCAGAGATGCACAGGCCTCAACAATTTAGCTGGTGGGAACCCCAGCTTGAAGTTCATGGCAACTGGACAAACACTTTGGAAAACCTGCCCTGAATTTAGGGAGAACTGCCATCCTCGCCTGCCTTGCCTCTCCAAGGAGGGGGCCAGGGGTCCATTCGGCTCACCTTGACAGCCACCAGCATCTTCTCCTGAACAGAGCTGAGGTTGTAGCATTCAGCCAGGAAGACTTTGCCAAAGGCTCCCTCTCCCAGCTCCCACTTCAGGACGATGTCCCTGCGCTTGATGTGGTGGACACCTGTGCGGAGGAGAAAGGGAGCTCTGAGTCCAAAGTGGGAGGGCGAGAGAAACTCTCATGGGTATGCAGAGCTCCTGAGGATCCCACCTTGGCTAACCTGCCCCATGGCCTGGCTCTTAGATACTGGCCCAGGAGAGGATGACAGAGCAGACAGGGCTGCCTGCCATCTAAAGGGTCAAGTGGGGGGGCATGAGGATGCCCTGCTATTTGTTCCACTGGCTAAATCCCTTTGCAGTGGGACTTTGGGGGTATATACGCAGCTCCCGCTGGGCTTACATTGCAGCCCCCTCCCCTATCCTAGACACGCTCCTTTGCCACACTGGCCCACCCCTTTCCAGCAAAATCTGCCTATGCATTGAAATACCCACATGAAGGCCCCACCCCCGCAGAAGAATTGCTGCATCCATGGGGCAATCCAGGCACTCACAGGCATTGCAGAAGTACTGGGGGTTCTCGATGAAGTTGGTCTTGAGGGTGTCCAGCTTGCTCTCCGCAGAGGAAAGGGGGCTGCTGCCCCAGTTCATGAACTGCAGGGATATGGCCAGGTCATCCTCTTGCGCCAACACAGCTGACCCTGTGAGATGGAAGCCATGAGACTCTGACACAGGCACCTTCCGCCCCAGGGCAGACCAGATGGGGTGGGGTGTTCAAAACCTCAGGTCTCTGCCTGGAAAAACAATGAGCGTGCCTACCTGGGGAGGAAGGTCTCCTGTGCTGAAAAATGCTATGCGCACACAGAGTTTTATCCCACCATCCCAAGTGCCACAGAAGAAGCAAAATAAAAAAAGCTTTTGGCATGCCCATAAATTCCCTTGTGGAGGATGGGGTTCATGTGTTGCACAATAAATTTTAGAGTAACAACTGAGGTCAGGCAGGAAGTTGTCTTCCCTGTGGAATCAGTGCTGGGATAGAGCTCACCTTGCCCAGCAAATCCCCCTGGGGGAACCAGTGAGGCCTCTCCCTCTGCCCTCCAGCCCTAGGCCAGGGACCAAGGCACAAGGGAAGCTCCCTGCAAACCCTGCCTCCTGGGCTGCTGGGCAGGTGGGCCTCCTGGATGCTTTTAGCCTGATGGTAGTCAGCTTCTGCGGGCCCACGAAATGCTCAAGGCAAGGCGGCAAAAGGAGCAGGAGCCCCTCCTACTCCCCCCTCCCTTCGCTGCTCTGAGTGGGAGGCATTGGCAAGGGAGCAGTAACCGGAGCGTTTAAGCCTCCAGTAATTACCGTGAGAGGGTCCATAACCAGCAAGCCTTCCCCCCCATGCATCTTCATCAACGTCAGGGCAAGGATGCCTGGCTGCAGGAGCCTGGCAGGAGTGGGGGGAGGTGGGGAGAGAAAGTGACTCGAGATCTATAGGGCTGGTGGCTGGGGAGTTGGCAGGGATGGGGGGGCGGCTCCAAAGGCAGAGAAAAGCCTGGAGAGTCAACCTAAGAGTCAGCCAAATGGCATGTGCAAAGAGGCAGCCTCCTCTTCCAGGATAGGGGACCAGATCCACCCCACAGAAAGGAGCAATAGGAAGCCACTGGGCTCCATCCTGCTCTGCATTCTCAACAATGACCCACAGCAAGCAGGGAAGCCAGCAGGGATTGAGCTCGGGACCTACCATGGAGTTCCAGCCTTTCTTCCTAGAAAGACCCTGCAGGCCTCTCTGGCATCTGACTCTCTGTCAGCTCTCCCCACTTGTAAACTGCCCCCCATGGCCAGTGTTAGAAACTGGGGTAGGAATGCTAGGGTCCATGTGACTCGTGGGACCTAAGTTGTGGGCATCCAAACAAAATGTCTAGGTGCCTTTTTTCTTTTTTTGCTGCCACACTACCAGACCAGGCAGCCCTGCAGCAAAAAATAAAGATGCTGAGGGTGAATCAGGGGGGTCCGCAGAGGAGCATGGCAGCCAAATAGGTGTCTTTTGCTACTGCTCTACCCTGCCAAACACCTGGCAGTGCGGCAGCAAAAACTATGTGTTGTGTTGTTGTGTTGTGTTGTGTTTTGCTGCCAGGTGAATCAGAGGGTCTGCTATGTCTTTTGCTGCTGCTGTGCCCGGCAGACCTGCTGACTGCAACCAGGCAGCTGAAGATGCTGGGCATCTCCACCCGTCACAAAAGGCCAGTTGCCAGTTGCAAAATGCGCCTGGCACCTGGCTAATTTCAAACACTGCCCACGCCCGCCCCAGGGACCAGCAGATGTTCCCTCTGTGAGGCTGGAGGTCAGAGCAGGCAGCCATCATCATGGGAAGCCTTATTGCTGAGCATCTTTCCCTACAGGCTGGAATTCTGTCGATGAACCTTCCACCCACCCAACACCGTTTGATTTTTGCCACATTTCCCTTAGATCTGTATCTTTTTCAGCCAGTGCTCACTTCACCAGCACCCAGAAACTCACACAAACCCCGGTGATCTGAATGCAGCCCTCTCCGTCTGGGGGCACTGCGGTGGGGGTGGGGGCACAATGAAGAGGCTGGTCTTGCAGCCCACCCTCAGTTCAGTACACACAGGCCCATCCACCCAGCCTCCGCCATCCAAGGTCGGCAGGTAGCCAGTCCAACTGGGCGGGGGCTCTGAGCTCTGCCCCTGCTGCTGCTGCTGTGACATCTGGCTGCACAACAACAAGTGTCTGCTTCTCTGCCCCCCCTCCCCACCCCTCCCTTCTGCCATTCCTGCCCCCCTGGGGGTGATCCAGGCAGATCAAACCCATTTACAGCCTGAATCAATTCCAGCAGTGAATTAGCAGCTGATGCCTGCCTGAAGGGGGAGGGAGAGGAAGGCTAATGAAATGGGGGAGGAGATGGAGGGAACCAGCTCAGCCTCCACCACCTTCCATTCCCCAAGCGGGGTGCAGCTCCCTTGCTCCCCGCAGCACAATAATTTAGGTGGCCAAGGAAGGGTGGAGGTAGCCACTGCAGACTGTGTGGTTGGGAAAGGTCCACAATGAAATCTCAGAGAGGCCAAAGTTGGGGGTGGGGAGAAGCACAGCTTCTCATGGAAAGTGGAGGGGGAACACCCACCCGCCCCGGGATTTGGTTGCTCCTGCTTCCCCCTGTCCTTCCAAAGACCAGGTGTTGGTATAACAAAGGTCAGGGCTCTGATTAGTATCTATTTAGCCACAATAGCGCAATGGAACCTCCAGCTTCAGAGATAGTCTATCTTTTGAGCTCCAGTTGCAGGACAATAAGCAGAGGGAGGGAGGGGGCTTCTGTCTCTTCAAGCATTTCTCATGGGCTTCCCAAAAGCACCAGAGGAAAGCAGGTGCTAGCCCTGTGCTTACAACACGGCTCCCTAGAGCTTCCTCTGGGTCCCTTCCCCACTGTGAGCCCTCCTGACACCCAGCCACAGGTGCCACAGGCAGGCAGGTCATGCAGAGGAAGGAGAACTGCCCCTGTCCTCCTGGCTCCATTGGCACAATGGAAGCCTTTGGGTGCTGAGCAAGACCCCTGGTCCCGTTAGCAGCTGGCAAAGGGGGTAGAGAGGAGGGAGGCACCTGCACCTCAGAGGCCGAGCAGGAGAAGGGCTGAGGGGGGCTTACGGTTAATTCCGAACTTGGAGTGCTGCCCACACTTGTTGAGGATGATCAGCATGATGGAGAGGAAGAGGCAGGCACAGACTGCCAGGACCACGGCCACCGAGATCTGGAGGAGGAACAAGGGAACCATCAGTACCCCAGAAAAGCCAAAGGGTCCATCCAACCACAGTGGCCAACCAGGTGCAGGAAACCGGGTGCACGAGCAGCCCTCTCCCTGCCAGTGGGTCAGATGTGAGGAGCTGCAAAAAAGCCCTTCAATGGCCGTCCGGCCTCAAGGCCCAAAGGAGCAGGCAGAGCTGACAGCACACCAGAGCCGGGCAATTTCCGTCCTGTGTCCAGGAACTCCTGCCTGTGGCCTGCTTTGTTGTCACTTTGCACATGCTCAAAGGCATGCCTTCCTTTAACATCAGCTCAAATGTTCTCGGGTGCGCATTTCCCCACCCGGCCTGCTTGGCTCATATGAAGCCCTGGGTGAGATCCATGTGCCCAACCGGCAAAGCTGGACGGGCCGCTCTGTAGCCATGGCTCCACCATCACTTATGTAAGCCCAGACCTGTGCTCACTCGCCCCACACAGCTGGTCCCCAGGCCTCACCCCAATGGTGTGCTCCTCAGGAGTCTCCACTGGCCCTCCACGCTCAGTGCTGTTCATGTCACCTTTTCCTGGGGGCAAAAGAAGAAGCAGGAGAGGGAGGTTACGCCGTTCGCTCAGACTTCACATGGAAGCCTCCAGGATGCAACCCAGATGGCCCCACATCTATCAGGGGCCTCCTTGGGGTCTGCCTCTCCTGGCACAGATGCCCCCTGGCTAAGATGGACGAGACAAGGCACAAAGACAGTTTTGCCGCTCCTGAACTCCAAAGCTGCAGCTCAGTGGCTCATTTCTCATGCTGAGGTCGGTGTCCTCCCCCCACCCCCATCTAGGGTGTTCTGTGGCCCCCTTCTCCCCCCAGCCCTGTTGCAAAGGGACCTGCACATTCTTCCCAAATACTTACCCACTGGTGATAGGGAGACTAAGGCAGCAGTAAAAAGAAATAAGAGGAGGGAGACCTCAGTTAGCCTCTGGAGGCCACAGTTGCAGACACCCCACCCCTTGGTGACCCACAAGCACAGTTGAGGAGTGAGGGAGCTGGTGTGGCTGAGCCCCATGCCCGCCATGGGTGTTCCTGCCCCATTTCCCCCATCCAGACCAAAAGAGGGATCTTTTCTCCAAAGCCAGGAGCCGACTTCAGCAGCACCGCAGGCCCTTCCACCTCCTCCTCTGGTTTTAAGGCAAGCTTTGCGGTCACCTCACAGGAGAGAGCCCCGTACCAGGAATGGGATCCTCTGGACGAATGCCCACCCCAGGGGGGTCCATGAAGTGCTGGTAGGTGGTGCAGGAGTCGTTGCCCAGCTCGTTGCGCACCAGCAGTGTGTAGTTGCCGTTGGAGACGTGCGTGGGGTTGTCGAAGTTCAGGCACCCATGGACCTTTGTGGTGTTCTTCTCGGCGAAGAAGTCGGTGCGCATGAAATCATTCTCATGCAGGGCTTCGCCGTCCAGCTGCCACCAGATGTGGGGCGTGGGGTTGCCGTTCACAATGAAGGGGATGCACTTCTTGTGGAACTGCCGCAGGACGGAGCCCACCTCAACAATCACGGCAGGAACTGGGGAGACAGCGGGGGGGGGGAGCCAGAGCCTTTGAGGTGGGAGCAGCCACTGTGCCCATCTCCTCTCCTGGGACCCCGGGGGGAGGGGCTTCCAGGCAGGGGCTTAATATTGCAAATGGGTCAACCAGGCCTCGTGCGTGGGGATTGGAAGCCACAGCAACAGCACATATTGGATTGAATGAGGATGGAGGGGGAGAGAACTTTGGATGCTGGCAATATTTTTGTGTCTGTATGAGCAGGATCCCTCCCACCTGGAAGCCCCTTAAACCCAGATCTAACTGCTGGATGAAGAGTTAAGCCAGAATTATGGGATCAGCCCAGTGACATTTTATGTTTTGTATTTCTGTTTCGTTCTTGATTTTTTTTTTTTTTAAGTATTGTTACACTGTGTGTGTGTGTGTGTGTGTGTGTCCCAGGCCATATCATTTATTTATTTTGACCTCTCATTTGCATGAAGCTCCCTGCAAGAGCCCCATATCATTCTTATGTCTGCTTTCTCCTATTGCAAAGAGCTTTTCATGTAGGGGAACATTTTAAAAAGTCACTCCCCTCCAAGACTTAGCCTGGAAAAAAGAGCGGCACCTCATTCTGCTGCATGTTTCAAGGTAGCCACACGTACCCTGCCCTAGGAGCCGATTCTCTATCAGACCCCAGCAGCCAGAAATAGCCCTTTGAGTCTCAAAGGGGCCCTCAGACCAGCAGGCCCTTCTCCAGGCTGGCTGGATGCACGCTAGAAATGGCCCTAGAGCCACCAGCCCCCTCCCCTGGAAGGGCAGCTGGTGCCGGACACCCACTCAGCCTGGGAGGGAGGCCCCTCCCAGAGGGAAAAGACCAAGAAGGCTGCAGGAGACAGATGAACTCTCTTACACGTCACATTCAGCTGGGCCACATCCTCTGCAAGTCCAGCTTCATTCTCTGCCTGGCAGGTGATATTCTGGAGGTTGAAGTCAGAGGAGACGTTCCAGATCTGCAGCTGGAGTTCAGACTCAGACTTCTGCATGGACAGATGAGATGCTCACATTGAACATGTGGCTGAACCAATGAAGTTGGATGGAGAAAGGCTGGTCACACACTACAGCCCCCCCCCCCCAGTATCCGCCCTCCAAGCCCTGCTATAAAGCTTGGAGTAACTGAGGGATAATCAGCTTCCTAGAGGAGGTCAGTCAGTCATGGACTGGACTTTGCCTGTTTAGCCCCAATTCCTGTTCTCCTCCCTGGCACATGGTGGCCTCTGGGGACAAGGCCACTTGCCCAACTAGGTTGGTACTTGCCTGGGTGATGCGGGGAGGAAGGTCCATCCAGACGTTCGGCAGCAACCAGCGCACATCTGGCCGTGGCTCTCCAGTGAAGTTGCAGGTCAGGGTGACGCTCTCTCCCTCTCCCAAGGGCTCCTGGTTGTACTCAATCCAGACCCTCGGGAATTCTGCCCCAAGAGAAGGGACAGAGCAGAGGTGGCTGAAGGCAGGCTCTGGCCAGCAACATCCTGCCCCAGGGAGGAAGCTGCCTGGTGGCTCAGATGGGCCCCCAGATGTGGCACAAAACAGGGGCCATGGGAGATGGCAGAGAGGCCCCACACAGCTCCTTACTCACTCACCACAGCCTGCAATGGTCATGTTAGCCACAGGGATCACCTTCTCGCCCTCTGCCACACAGTGAAGGGACTGGTTGCCCAAGGACTCGGCCTGCCTGCTCTCCTGCCACACCTGCAGCCACCGGAGGCGGCAGGTGCACTGGAGAGGGTTCCCGATCAGCACCCTGTGGGTGGGGGGGAAGAAAGGGGGGAGGTCACGGGCAGTTCAGACTCAGGCAGTGGCCCCAAACTCTGAATGACAAGCTCTACCAAACCCTGCAGAAAACTTTGAAGAGGAGGTGTGGCCATCCCAAGAGCATCCATTTCCTCATTAAAAAACAAAAAGACCCCACCAGTTTCTAGCCCTCTGGGGTGGTTTAAAAACATGGCATGAGTGCCCCCTGGCCCTGTTGCAAGAGCTGTTTTATCCTAGCCAGAAATAGGAGGACAAAAGTCAGCTTCCTCTCCCCTCTCCTCTTAACATGAAGTGGATCTTTAGAACTGTGTCTTGGGACAGGACAGAACTTGGGGTCATTATTCCAAATTAATGAAGCCAGAAGAAAGCAAGGGCACCACCAGGAGGGAGCTGGCGGATGACTTGGCCTGGAGAGATTCACAGCTGCAGCCCATGCAGAGACATGGATGGGGTGGGAGCAGCAGGAGGGAGGGCACTTCCTTCTGCAGGTGTAGGAATCATAGAATTGTAAATTTGGAAGGAACTGCAATCCCCTGCAAAAAAGGAGTTTGTCAGGCATTTTACACCAGCTGAAATTCTCCTTTCCACCAAAGGAGCAGGAGTCCACCCAACATTGCATCTTTTCAGCTGGCCACCCAGCCACCACTGACCACAGTGACTACCAGGGGAGGTTGCCTCAGTTTCTCTCCAGCAACATGATTCAAGTGGCCACAAGGGTGTTTAAGCCCTTGAAACCTTGAGGTCAGGATGCTTGCAAAGCACCAGAGCACAGTCTCTCGCTTCCCTCCTGATGCTTCCTATGAACAAATCAGCAGAGCTGCCCCCTCTTCCCCCTTGAAAAAGACCCCAAAACCTCAGTAGCACCAGCAGGAGGGCACTGCATGTGGGAAAGGGGTTTGGCCCTGAAGCACCACAGCTCTCCCAAATGCCCAGTCCAGAAGGGGCCAATGGGAGGAGACTTACAGCTCCTGGAGATGGAGGTGGTGGAAGAGCCTCCAGGACAGGAAGCGCAGCTGGTTGTAGGCCAGGTTCCTGCACAGGGACAGAGAGAAAGAGAAGCCTTGTTTGCCTTGGGATGGGCCTCTGCCTGTCTCTGCTAGTGTACGACAGACAGAAGTTAAACAGGTGCAGGGTCTCCTGGCTGAAACTGCCCCAGGTACCGCCACCAGAAGAATTGTTAACTGCAGGCCAGCTCTCTCTCTGCTGCAGTGATTGTGTTGCTGAGAGAACCTGGGAAACAGGCCCGGGCTGAACCTTGGATGCCTGGGAGCAACGCCCCCCTCTCTTTAGAGCCTTGCAGGCTCCCTACTGGATCAGGCCAAGGGAGCCCATCTAATCCAGCCTCCTGTCCTCACAGTGGCCAGCCAGAAGCCTCCAAGCAGGACCCGACTGCAACACAAACACTCCCCTCTGCGGGTTCCAGAAGCATTTGCTGCCTCTGACTGTGGAGGCAGAGCATGGCCATTGTGACTAGTAGCCCTAGGGAGCTTTTTCTTCTCTATGAATTTGTCCAGTCCCCTGCTAAAGCCCTCCTGGCTGATGGCCATCATTTCAGCCAGGATCTTAACAAGGAAAGCCCAAAGAGCAGGAAGCCAGTTTCAGCCCCCCTCCCACCCCAGCTGATCTCCCAGGGCCAACAATGTTCCTCTGAGCCCCATAGAGGATCTGGGCAGGAAGTTGGGGGGTGGGGTGGGCTGGGCTGCCAGCCGCTGGCCATGAGCTGCATGGGAGCAAATCAATATCCCCGTGTTGTACAGGGACATTAACACTAACTATGATAAACAGTGTCCTCCCAGCCCAGGGATGCAACGAACATGCCGGGGAGGGCAGGGAGAGGGAAGCTGGAGGTGGGGGCAGTCAGGGAGGAGGAGGCTGGGGTCTCCATCCACTCCATGTCCATGGTCTGTGGGAGAGAAACAGCTTGTTTGGGGAGGGGGCTGTTCTTGGATGAGGGGTGGGGTGGCCACACTTTGTCCCACTGCATCCCTTATATGTGGGGCAGCCCCTCACCACAAAGACAGAGCTGACACCTGCTTTGGCAAACTGGCTATAGCCAGGGTCCACCCTGCCTGTTGACTGGCCATGGCTCAGCCTGCCTGTCAAGCATTTGCCCAAACCAGACTGGGAGGCCACATGGGGCAAAGGGCCCTCAGGGGCCAGGGGCCCACTTTTGGTGACTTTCCCCTGATCAACCTGCCCTCCATCTCTACTGGGGCAAAGAAGCGCCTCGGAAGGTGCTGGAGAGGGGAGAGAGGTTTGCATTTGAGGGAGGGGCTTCCTGCAAGCCTCACAGGAGGGGGAGGAGATACGACTGGAGACCCTGAGTGGGAGCAGAAGACAGTCAGGTTCTTGAGAGGGGAGCCCTGGCGATGGGCTGCCTTCCCTTCTTCACTTCCACCATAGCAAAGTTCATCTGCCCAGCAGTTTCCTGCTGCCTCCATCCATGTCACCACAATCCCAAAAAAGAACAACTTGCTAAGCAAGTCTCCAGTACTGAGCCTGAAGAACAGGAGCTCGCATGGCCCCACCCCAACTGACATTCCAAGCAAGGAAATTGGGAGTGGAAGGGGAATCACAAGGTAGGTGGCTGAAATTCCCAGAAACAACCCCAAGAGTTTGGTGGTGGCTGCTCCTTTGCAGCCTGAGGGGGAAATGGAGGCCCAGGGCAGAGGAGCCCAAGCAGTCCTGTCCTCCCCACGAAAAGGCACAGTCTGCCCTGCACTGGGCAATGCAAAGGTGTGGACTTGGGAAGTGCTTGTGGCTGAGGAGCCAGGTACTTACACATGCGTCAGGTTCAGGCTGCCTCTGAAGGTGTCTGGTGCAATGAACTGCAGCTGCGTCCTTGAAATGGTTCTGCAACAAATGAGCAAAGTCAGTCGGAGCGCAGCTGGCCAGGAAGCCGCCACCCCACGAAACCCAAAGTCTCCGTTGCAGTGGCCAGTTTTTGCTGCAGCAACACTTCCGTACCTCCATGCCTGTCTGGGCCCACGAAGGCAGTGCCACCTCAGGAGAGGCAATGGCCAAATGTCCCTGGCCTCAGCAGGATGGAGCACAGGATGGAGGCAGGCCAGTCGCAGGCAGGTGGAGTGGAGAGTGTTCCTGGCAGTGGGGCTCCTGAAGCCATAGTAGAGTCCTTGCCATGTCAGGGGGGCTGGCAAGAGGGCAGATGGTGCTGTGTGGGGGTGGGGGTGGTGAGGCTCTTCCATGGGGCTCTCTGCCCTCACCTTAGAAAATGACACTAGAGGAATTTTCATCCTCAGCAATGGGAGGAAATTTCCCAAGACAGGTAGGAATATGGGGCAGGGTGAGGCTGTTCACTCTCTCCTCTCTGCAACCCGGCCCTGACATCATTCCCAAGAAACAGGTGCCTCCAGTGAAGCGCCTCTGAAGCCCACCTGTGCTTCAGAGAGACCTCATGGACCCTCAGGCTTAGGTACCTGCCCTGAATCTGGGGCACCTGCGCCAGGGCTCCTCCTGTTTGCTCAGCATTGGGGGGGGGGAAGCATTTCCTTCCCCTTCCTCCAAAGCTGCCTGAAATGGGGGAGGTGCAGAAGGAGGTGGGGTGGAAGCAGACCAGGAGCTGGAAGGGAAGCAAAAGCAAAGCTACATACTCTCTGCTGTGGCAGAAACGCCTCACTCTCTCTGCCCAAAGGAGAACCCTCCCCAACCACACACTTCCAGCCGCCTCCTTGGCCTCCTCACAGACCCCCCAACTGGAGCACCAAGCAGCCAAGGGACTCACAGGTTCTTCAGCTCTCGAGGATTCTTCATGTCATCCTGAGTCAAGTTTGTCAGAGTAATCTGGTTCTCAATGACTCTGTGAAGGAGAGGAGCCTGTCAAGCCATATTCACGCTGTGTCATGATTAAATGCTTGCCTAATAAAAAGTCTGAATAAACATTCTTTCTGCGGCACCCCGTGGGGCTTAGAAGCCCAGTTATGTCACCCCTTGCCTGCTCCCCCCTTGCACCAGAGCTGCTGAAACAGCTTATCCAGAGAAGGCCTGTGTACACATTCAGGCTTGCCCCCCCCCCAAAAAAGTCTGTTCACGGATGTCAGGGGTTCAGGAGCAGAGGCACAGGAAAGGGAGGAAATAGAGAGCGAGGGGGAGGAGTCCGAAGGAAATGTTAGCGATGACAGCGGTCCGAGGTCTCTGAGTCTTTCCAGCGAATCGGAAGATTCACAGAAAGGGGCTCCCTTGGTCAGAGCAAGGGGGTGCCGAGGGGACACCCCAGGAAGAAGGGGCCAGAGGGGACTCAGAGAGCAGCAGTTGGAAATCAGGACCAGCGTCCACACCAGAGTGCAGTAGGGGGGAGGAGTCCCAGGCATCGGGATCAGGCGGCGCACTGCCAGTGGGAGGACATGAGTCAGGATTGGCCACGCCTCCATCGGGGAGCGAGGAAACGGTCGAGAGGAAGGTTGAAGGCTTGTCGCGCGCGCCACGTTCAAACGGACAGGAGGGCGGCGCAGTTGGCAGCCCGGATAGGGAGCCAGGCCCCAAAGCCCGCCGAAAAGAGGGGGAGGCGTCAGGGGGGTCAGCGTCAGAAGAATCCAGGAAGGAAGGGACCCCGGGGGGTAGCAGGACCCAGAGGAGAAAGGAGAGACGTAAGAGGTGGAGTAAGGCTAGAATCTTAAACTGGTGTACAGGGGGCGGAGACTCAGATGGAGCTTCGCCGATCTAACCCCTAGACGTAGAGCTGGGGCGCTCCGGCTTGAAAATGGAAACTGTACTTCAATAAAGACTTTTGTACATTACTGCCGGCTAGCGTTGGTCCTCTGTGAGCTGGGACCTGGAGCCAGCTCTGACAACTGTGAAGTTGTCAAATTTTAGTTTATGGTTTATTTTTATTTTATTTTTACTTGAAAGAAAACTAAAAAACCATTTATGTCCTAATAAGGCCATTTTACTAAGAAGAGGGGAAAGCAACCAGCAAGAAATTGAGCCTGAAGGGAAACATAGGAAGCCATTACCTTGTACAGTGGTACCTCGGGTTACATACGCTTCAAGTTACAGACGCTTCAGGTTACAGACTCCGCTAACCCAGAAATAGTACCTCGGGTTAAGAACTTTGCTTCAGGATGAGAACAGAAATCGTGCTCTGGCGGTGCGGCAGCAGCAGGAGGCCCCATTAGCTAAAGTGGTGCTTCAGGTTAAGAACAGTTTTAGGTTAAGAACAGACCTCCGGAACGAATTAAGTACTTAACCCAAGGTACCACTGTACTGAGTTAGACTGAATTGGTCCATCTAACACAGCATTGCCTACACTGACTGGCAGCAGCTCTTCAGGAGCTGCATCCAACACTGATTCTGCTCAGAGTAAACCAATTGTAATAAATGGACAGTAATAACTCTGGTGCATTCATTTCAGAGGGTCTGCTCTGAGAAGAACTTTGTTGGCTACAACCTCATTTTTTGAGAAGCTGGGAAATGGTTGTGGGGCTTTCTGGTCTGGCCACTGAGCTGTGTGGATCTTCCTTCCCTGGCACTGCCTCTTCTCTCCCCGCCCAGCACCCCTGCAGCCTTGCCAGCTTCTCCTTTAGCTCCCTCTGCAAGCACAAGGAGCCCCCTCCACTGTTGTGAACAGGCAAAGGCTGCATGAAGTGAAGGAAGGAGAGAAGAGGCGGCTTCAATTTCAAGACTGGCTGGGGGGGGGGGCAGACACGGACCCCTTGGCTCTGTTGTGACAGACAGGCTGGGAACCACAACAGAGCAGAGGATGCCCCTTGAGGGATTTCACTCGCACCCAGGTCAGCCTCCACTGCAGTCTCTCCAGAAAACATCCCACGAGTATTGGGTCAAAAGAAGCCCAGTGGGGCTTTGGCAATGCCCTGGGATGGACAGGCCTGCTGCAACAGATGCTGCAGTTGCCCAATGGAAGCCCACAGGATGTGGCCTGGCAGTTTCCCTCGCACATTGCTGAATCGCACCCAGAATCTTACAAGAGAAGTGGATAGAGATCTGCTATGTTTGCTTATTCAGATAAGTCTGTTCCACAGAGCTGCCCTTGCATCTCGCTGTTAGTGCGATGATCATTATTCCCATTTGGGGATGGGAGGAGCAGTCCACACTTTCTCACTTGCACCTTTTCTGATCAGGCTGTGAGGCGTGAAGGCTGCTCTCTGCAAGACCCTTTCCACCTGGCCAAGGGGACGGGGCCCAGACTCACCCAGCTCTACTCAAGAGGCCCCTGGGAGACTGGAGGGACATCACTATGCCTGACAACAAATCCTAATTATTGGATTCTTTTGCCCTATCTTTTTGTGCTTGCCAAACAGCTGTGTCATGCTTATAATATTTTATTCTCTTGTTAATTATGCTGTTTTAAATGTGCATTTTATATTTGAAATGTTTCAGATTTTGTTTTTGTTTTGTGTTAAATATGTATTCTGTAGTTGACTTCCTTTGTAATGTTTTATTTTGAAATCTTTGAGATGGTATTTTAGTCTCCTGCTAATTGTGTTGCTTTGTGTAATTTATATTTTACTTTCTTCAGAAATGTTTGATTCTGGGTAAAATTTTAATGCTATATGTCAGGGCCCCTGACACTATATTACACTAAGATTAAAGACTGGGATTTAAAAAGTGGAAAAGAAATTGCTGGATAAACAATTTGGACTGGAATACAAAAGAGGGAGGTATGAGGAAGTCCAGAAAACAAGTAAATTCAAAAACGGAAATGAAAAGGTGATATTGTTTTTAATTGTTCTGTTTCTTTTTTTTTGTTTTCTGTTTTCTGTGTTTTTCCTCTTTTTTTGGGATTATGTATTGTGTATTTGTGTATTTCTTTTTTATGGTTTTTCTGTTTAACTTTTTATTGAAACCTTAATAAAAATTATTAAAAAAAAAAAGAAATGTTTGATTCTGCATTGTTTTGTTGATGTTTAATATGCTGTAAACCGCTTTGAGATTTTTCTTAAAAATATAAAGCGGTATAGAAATGATGAAATAATAATAATAATAATTCAGTAATAGTAACAACAACAACAAAAGCTGATTCACTGGTGACCCACCCAAAAGTGGTCCCAGTGGCTGCTTGGATGCAGTTTAGGCCACAACACACTCTTTGAGCTTCCCTGGATAGAAAGTGGTTTCTAGTCTAACTTATTCAAGCATATTAGAGAACTTGAAGTTGCTTAAGGAATAGGGGGCAGCAGAAAAATCCCAGAGCACCCTTCACAGCACCTTCAAGTGGGCTGGGATTTCTAAGAGAAAAGGCAAACTATTTCTAAGCCTCTTTATATCATGTTCTGCTTCTGGTGCCACATGTGACTAATGGTCACTGGCATGACTAGTCGTCTCCCGCCTGTGAATGGGAGTGGCATCGCCCACATTTGCCCAGCCTGCAGCTGGCGTCTGTCCTCCATAGATCTTCCAGGAATGTTTCTCCCAGCCACAGCCAGTGGGGGATAATTGATGGACCCCTGGAGAGAAGATTGTAATGGCCCATCAGCTGCCCTCCATTTATAGCACAGAAGATGGAGAAGAGCTATTAGCAAAGTCTCTGACAAGGAGGCCTCAGGGGCTGCAGCATCAGGGCAGGGGGACCTCTACACCCCTGAGCAGCCAAGTCAGATGCAGATCACACACTCGCACACTCCCTTCCTCGCTCCTGCAAATAAGTCTTTGTGTTGCTGCACCTAGAAAGGAGTTGGGCTGGCTGGCCACAGCCCTACAAGAGGCTGAATTTTCTAGTGTTCTTAAGGTGTGCATGTAGGTGAGCTCCCCATATGTCCATTAAGGTGGTGTGCAAAATTCGCCAATTTAAGGGTGAACAGAATACCTATACAAGTCAAACTGGACAGCTGGCATGGTTACAACCTCCAGTTCTAAAATCAGCATGATAATGATTAACTTTTCTCAGGTGGCTTTCCCTAGAAAGCACAACTATTAATGCACACAGATTTCCAGTCTGCTGAAATCATACATTAAACGGTTTTCAGCTCTTTCATTATAAAGAATAAAATCTAACCTAAGGGAAAACATGACAAAAGCTATTGAGGTGTCGTCTTTTAAAATCCTTGAGGGTGTTCCAATAAGAGCAGTTTCCAAATAAAGCTTTGAATTTGTTTGAATATAACGCACGCCAAAGCTGCAGCTCTCTGCACATTTACCCAGAGTGCTTTCCATTGAAATAATTTTACTTTTCTGAGTAGAAGGAACCCCACAGGGATTGCACGGGTCCCGGGGGTGGTGCACTCCCCCCACACTCCTCTTCCTCTGCCAGTGTCTCCTCCTGGATCCTTTGCTGTCACTTGGTGGTGTGGAGTGCCTTCCATCAGCTTTGGCTGGTGGTCCAGCTGTGCCTAACATCTGTTGTTTTATGCTCTGGTAACCTCTAGGTTAGATTATTCTGCAGTGTATTACACATAAGGCTACCACTTAAGATAGTTCAGAAGCTTCAACTAGTGCAGAATTCAGCAACTAGGTTGCTCATCTGGTTAAGATCCCTTCTCTTGATATGAATCTACTCAGACCCTGAGCTCATCATCTGAGGCCCTTCTTCATGTGCTACCTCTGCAAGAGGTGGGTGGCAACGTGAGAATGGGCCTTTTCTGCAATGGCTCCCCATTTTGTGGAATGTTCTTCCCATGGAGGCTTGCCTGGCACCTTCATTACATATCTTTAGGTGCCAGGTGAAAATGTTTCTCTTTAACCATATAAATTCTTCTTCTTCTTCTTCCCAGGCCTTGGACTGATTAACATTCTGTGGCCTTTTAAATGTTTTTGTGGGAGGGAGAGGGGTTATTGGTTTGTTTTTGGGTTTCAGAATG